TCTGCTTTTTAAAGCAAATAAAAGGAATAAAAATATGGCACCATTCCAATAATCAAATGCCAATAAAAATGGCAGCAGTAAAAAGATCTAAGCAAATCTTAAATACAGCAAATTTGTAATTAGAACACAATGTAATGATTTGATTTTAGCAAGAAAAAGAAGCTTAATTTGGTAAAGAGAAACCAAATACTGCATTATATTGAATACTAAGCTAAGTAACCGTAATTAATCTTACAAATTCTCGAATTTCATAACTACTTTTGAACAGCTAAATTTAAGCCTCATTTTTTAAATTAAATGCCTCTTCAACAAAGCTAATTGGAACAAACACATTTATGCAAATTTACATTCTACAATGCCAGAGTAAACAGGAGATGTTATTCAAAGATGAATAAGAAAGTTCTATTCTTTTTCGTCATCTGTGCGATCAGGTTGCAAAGGACATGCTCTGTGGAAAGAATAGAGAGCTTCAATAATCACCCAAGTAGGAACTGTTTAAAAAAAATAGTAATTACGAACCTATATAAATGAGAAACATTAAATACCAGTGCAGTGACTAGAAATTAGAGGAAATTAAACTCCACTAATTGACAAACACCTACAAATTTCAAATACTAGTGCAACAAAAAAAATTTTTTTTTTGAGACAGAGTCTCATTCTGTTGCCTAGGCTAGAGTGCCGTGGGGTCAGCCTAGCTCACAACAACCTCAAACTCCTGGGCTAAAGCCATCCTCCTGCCTCAGCCTCCCAAGTAGCTGGAACTACAGGCTCTCACCATCACGCCTGGCTAATTTTTTCCATTTTTAGTTGCCCAGCTAATTTTTTTTCTGTTTTCAGTAGAGACGTGGTCTCCCTCTTGCTCAGGATGGTCTCAAACTCCTGACCTCAAGCAATCCTCCCTCCTCAGCCTCCTAGAGTGCTAGGATTACAGGCATGAACCACTAAGCCCGACCAAAACAAAATTTTTAGCAATTCATTTTGCCTGTTAATTTGCAGAATCAGAGTTTGTCCTCTTGGATATGTTGCCGTTTTTATTAAAAAGAGAATCCCTATAGCATCTTCTTTCAACATGTTAAATGAATTGATAGAGTATAATCCTTTGTTAAGAACTTTGTGATAATAAAAAGCAAAAAAATTAACCAATCCACTTGAGCAGAGAAAACATAGCAAGTTATTATATTTTACTGTATACCCTTTTGAACCAGATGAATGTATTACCTAATTAGAAAAACCCCAAAATTGTTTGTTAGCATATGGTAGTTGTAGTTTTTGAAAAATAATTTACATTATCCCAAAGCTATTTTGTATTCATTATACTTCTTATAGAGAAAAAATCAATTAGAAACTTAATCATAAATCACATTTTTTTAAAGCTCATGAAGATTTGTAAGATCTGCTGTAAAATCCTTGGTTTTCAAATCAGATCCAGTAAGCCTGAATGGTCATAGAGCTAGGTAGTGAAGGAAGGAAGCTAAAATGAAGGTAATCAGACTTGGCATAAGATTATCATTGACTTACATACTATTAGGTTACAGAGAGATCTTCACTGTATTTTCCTGGAAATTAAATCAAATTAACAAATGAACACTATCATAACCCAAACTTCCTTTAGGATCTGTTTTACTTCAGACATCATAGTTCTGTTCAAGGTTTAAGCAGATTATTGATTCTGACTGTCCCCCATGCAACTGCTGGGAGTTTACCCTGCTTTGGGGACAAAAGTAAAGCCACAGGAGTAACTATGTTCCAGAATATGAATTAAGAAGGTTATAACATAAATTCTTCCTATAAACTCATTCACTATTTCAATAAAAGGATAATTACAACTCTTCTAAACAAAGGCAAATCTAAAAAGGGGGCCTAAATAAATAATGTAAACCTGTATTACCTAGCTTTATGTCACAGGTTTTATTATATCATGGATTAAAATTCTTTATGAGAATTTACATGTAATCTCTCTCCATATGATAGAAAGACTATATAATATAGGTTTTATTCCTGTGATGATCAATGTCATAGCCACATTTGGCTGTATTGCCAAATATTTTATTTCCTTAATGTAAGTCATATATAAGACAACTGAAATATATTCTAGAGCTAATCTTGACTATTAGCTTGTTCATAGTGAGAAAGAACAAGGAACCAGACAATGAGAGAGAACTAGAAGAAACTTACAGCATCAGGAATGCAAGCCGTTTAAAAAGCTCTATCCAAAAATGTATCCTGTTAGTTAATTTTTATTGAAACTAGAAATCATAATAGTGATGTAATGACAAAGGGTAAGATTTAGTCACTGTTAAATATCTCACAGCATGGATAGTAGGCACTCAATAACTGCTTACTAAATGGCCTTATAAAAGGTATTGAATAATTATTTAAATTTTATGCTTTCATATGTCAAATATGTTACTTTAATTACTCTTCCAGCCATTTATTTAGTTTTTGTTCAATGCAAATCATTTCCAAACACAATGCACAATCCAAAACAGATGTACAGTGTTCGATATAAAGGAAAAGTGTTCAGTCACACATACCATAGCTTGGGATCTAGTTGTTCCCAAGTAGGTTTCTAAAGATGGCAAATATTAGCTTAAGACTTATTAAAACACATGGTGAGGTGGCTCATGCCCGTAATCCTAGCACTTTGGGAGGCCAAGTCAAGAGGATTGCTTGGGCCAGGCGCGGTGGCTCATGCCTGTAATCCTAGCACTTTGGGAGGCCGAGGCGGGCGGATTGTTTGAGCTCAGGAGTTCGAAACCAGCCTGAGCAAGAGCGAGACCCC